TCAGGAAATCACTGAGAGGTCACAATTGCCACATTCCCCCTGGTCTCTGYAGAGCTCCTCAGTGTTAGATGAACAGATGCACTCACGACAGACTGAGCACACTCAGACCCTGGCAGTGCAGCCCAGAGCTGCGAGCACATCGTGCGTGATGGGAGAGATCATCACGGAGTGTGTGACTCCCTGAACTCTGCAGAACAGGGCAGCCTCCTGAATCCCTGCTGCAGAGTTCTCCAGGGCAGGAACGATCTGCACTGCTGCAGGAACGGAGCAAAACCACAGCTCCCCCATCGTTCTTTGAGGGAGAGATATTAGGGCTCAGTAAATGATCAGAGCACATGCACAGCCCCTCGAGGGATTTATGAGGAATACAGAAATGCCGTTTAGGACTGCTCCTCTGAAATGGCAGTACTGTAACAAGGCAGACTCGATGCCATGGTCCAGGTCTACCTCAGGACAGCACCCTGACACTACACAGTGGTATTCACCCAGCAGGTCCATCCTCACAGCAGGGCAGGCGAGTGGGGGTTCTCCAGCACCCAAGASTTCAGAAACACCCAAATGCTGCCAAACACCACAGTGCCCACTTCAGCTTCTGCCCTSGAGAGGGGCACTGGCCGTACCACCYCTGACACASGCCCATCACTGTCCCACAGTGCCTGGTCATGGCTCACACAGCCCGGGAGGGACACACACAACTCTACCCCAGCCTCAGCCACGGCTGCATCTGCTAAGGATGTCCCAGTGCCTTAATTTCATTCCCCTTGTGCCTGAATGGATCCCAACCTCTGCAGGCGTGAGCACTTGTTACCCATCACCTGAGGCCAGCAGAGCAACTCAGCACCACCGTGTCAGCTCCATCCACACAGCACCGACAGAGCTGTGTGCTCTTAGCCCTCATTCTCATCTTGCTCCAGCACCATCTGCTTCGCTCCTCTTGCCTCTTCCCCATGCCAACCCKAAGCCTTCGGAGATGGAAGGATTTGAAACACACCCATGACCAATCCCAAATTACACTCCCGCTGGCTAAACCACCCAAAGGGATGAGTTCTGCTGCCACCGTCTGTGCCGGACATTCAGTCCCGTGCCCAGGGACGGCTGCTCCTCGCCACGGAGCCACTACCCTGCCCCCTCCCCTCCCCACTTCTCCAAACTTCGGGAGCCCACGAAGCCATCGGTAAAGCCGGACACTTGTGCCGGTGCCGGTCCGAAGCAGCCGCACAGCACACGCACCCCTCGGCTCCCGCCGCCCCTGCCCCCGCCCCACTCACGGCGCCCGGGGGCAGCAGCACCGCGCCCGCCGCCCCATCGCCCCCCGCCGCCTTCTCCTTCTCCTTGTCCGGCTTGAGCGCCGCGGGCGGCTGCTGGACGCCGATCTTCACCATGGCCCCGCTCCGCCGCCGCCGCCGCCGCGCCGCCGGTGCACCGCCCCGGGGAGGAGCCGCGCCGCGCCCGCCCCCGGCACCCGCGCTGCCCCCGCCGCACCGAGCCCCGGCCGCCGTGCCACCGGACGGGCCTGGGGCCGAAGAGCCGCCCGCGGGCACCGGGCTGCCCGCAGCACCCCCGGCACGGCCTCGGTCCGCGCTTGGACCGGCTGCGGGTGCGGGACACGGAGCGGGCGCGGCGGGAACGCCGGCTGGGTGCGGCACTGCTGCCAGCGGGGCAGCGAGGGGAACAAAACAAAATAAACCAAAACTGATCAACTCCCCAGCCTGAGGATGTATCAGCGTGCAGCCGATGTACACACAGAGCAAGGGTTACTTGCGGAAAACTGGGAAAACCCAGCTGCTGTTCGCTTCAAGGCCACAGAACAGAACCCGCGGAGAAACAGAGAGCACTCAGGTGGCCTTTCCCCCAGGATCAGCTCTGGGCAGCAGAACAGATGGATTGCCTCCATCGTGGGGACAGTGATCCAGAAAATGCCCTGTCTGCCAGAAACAGAGTGTGGCATGCAGAAGGGAATTTGTGGGGGTTGATTTGTGCCACCGGATGATGGCTGGGGAGCAGCAGAGAGCACAGCAAGGAGTAAAGAACACATGTTGACAGTTTTGTTAAGGTAACAAAATGGGAAAAAAAACCCCCAAACATTAACAAAACCCCCTCTGCCAGCTACAGGTAGTAAGGAAAGTAGGGAAATGTCAGTGGACAAACACAGCAATACTCTTACATTGATTTGGTCCACTTAAACATAGTATTTATTTATAATAGTTGTTATGAGCATTTTCTTTCGATCCAGAAGGGTTCATTATGTACTGAGTGCTTTACATCATGTTTCGAACTAACCCATTGATAAATTAGTGCTAAATTTTATTTGTAAAGGGCATCCTTGGCAGGGATTCAACATTGACTCACAGCAACAATTGCTAATAGTGCTGACTTACCATTGTTCAGTATCTGGAGCTGTCTGGTCCTCCCAGCATCCCACCCTGTGGCTGAAAGTTACATGGGGATTGCAAGTTTTATCTCACACAGAGATAAGGGGCTGCATTTCCACAACAGCCTCTAATTTCAGGAGCTCAAACTGAGACAAGGTTGTCCTGAGTTGATGGAAATGGGAGTGCTTATACTCAGATCCAAACACCTCACACTCAACATGCAAACCAGGAGACAACTCCCCTGACTACAGCTGTAAGGTAAATGCTAACTCTTCCAATAATTTATCATAAAGGACATATAGCCCTAGAGTAAGGAARTGTCCAGAGCAGGGCAGAAATCCTTGTGTCCCAGCCCTCTCAATGCACCGGGTCATCCTGCTTTCTACCCCTTCAGCACTCTCGGGGCACAGACTGGGCCCTGCCTTCTTTTTAGGTTGTTTAGTTATGCTCTTCCTCAGGGACAGCTTTCTCTCTGTTAGCTCCTCTGCCTCCAGCTCAGTGATCCACTGAGCAGCTCTTGTCACRGAGAAGAAACCTAAAGCCAGGATACAGCTGAGGAAAAGTGATACGACATCTTACATSTGATAAAACCAGAGAAAGCCTGACATTAAAATCTTCTGTTTAAATGGAAAATTTAAACTAAGCTGGATTTTTTTCTTTCCATTTATTTCAAATGTGACTCTACCCTGCACCCTAGTTGGTCAGTCTGCGGAACTGGTGGGACAAGTCTGTGGTCAGGAGAGTAAAGGATCCTCATATTTAGGTCATTTGGGACAGATACTGAGAGAAATAAGCCCAAGGCTCCTGATGTTCCCCAGGACTCCTGACAGAACTCATGTATTGATTTTCTCAGAGGTGAATAAATGGAAAGGCAGCATCACACCACGCCAAGCCAGCAGCACAGCACCTGGCAGCAGTGACAGTGGCCCTGCCCCTTCTTGCATAAGGTGCTGGCCTGTCAACTGCTGAATCAACCTGGGTCTTCTCCAGAGCACAAGTGATTTCCTGGTGTAACTGGGGAGTAGTATTGATCAAATATGTGAGACTGACATCATTTAGGTGTTGGGGGAGTCCCCTGTCCCCAGCTCGGGCCAGCCTGGCWCTCTCCAGCTGGAAGCCTCACCTGGCAGCCCACTGCCCATCCTGGCTGCTGGTTCTGCACCTCCTGCCCAGCACAGCTTCAACTGCAGCACCCTGAACAATGTGAACTGGGCYCCAAAAGGACACTCAGAGTAAGAACTGCTCCCAGGGAGGGCACAAAACCTGCAGGATGCTGTTAATGTTCACATGCATTAAAAAAATCCTTTAATTTTTTATTATTTTTATAAATGGTAATATGCACAAATGCCTCAAACAATCTACAAGTTGACAGTATTTGTGAACATAGCTGGAATAATGGAATATTACTTCTACTGTACCATAAAAAAAATTCAGGATTGACAAGGCAAGTTATTCTCAGCATGACAATGAATGCAAAACAAGTAAAGGAAAACATCCAAATAATCATAAAATGGGTCAACACTAAGGGTCTAAACTGTTAAGTATCTTTCCTCATTTAACATTCCTGGATTGGGTATCAGTCACAGCTACATTGTTCTGTGGCATCCCCAGATTTCAATTACATCCCTGGATAAAAATGGCTTTGCAGGCATTATGAAAAATCACCCAAATCATCACAGGCTGAGATTCAGACTCAAACATTTCTCAATAAGAAAACTCCTCCAGCTACAGGCCCTTCAATCAGGGGCTTAGAGGATAAACACTGMCAGTGAACTCAACGTTTCGAACACAGCTCAGAACTGTGTCTCTTGCCCTGCAGTGGAGAAGTGACATGCTGCTTACAGAACATCTCGCTCAAAGCTACTGTCTTTTCTATTTTTAAGCAAAGCAGGTTTCTATTTAAAACTGCCACCTTACCGACTTCCTTAAAGCCATCTGCTTGTTTATTWGTGTGTGACAACGAAGTTTCCATCTCTTGAATGTAATTAAGTTGAATCCCAKGGACAATTTAGTTGACTGACCATTCATTAAGAATAGCAGCATGATAGCACTTCTCAAGTAATGAAGAAGTGGGTCCTTTACAAACTGTTATTAAGCTGTCCTCTACATTGCCACTTCTCACTTTTCAAAAAAGCACTTATGTAAAAAAACCAAACACACCGATATTAAAGAGAGAGCACAAGATAACTGCCTTAATATATTCTGAGCCAACCAAAAAGTGTTTGTCATGTATTGAGCTGCATCTATTTCTGAGGTTTGCCTGGTGTTTTAGCTGTCCCTCACTGTATCAGACTGGAAGGAAATGAGAATTTTCGAGTCCTTAAATCATTCTGCTTTTCCACTGCAGTTCCAATAAGGGCTTGTACTACAGAGCGTGCTGTAAAAATGAACAGAACTCTGTAATKTGCTGAAAATATATTTTTATTTTCCCTTCTTATGCCTGATCAACTAAATAGGCGTAAGAAAGCAAGAGACAGGTTGGGCTTAAAAAAAGAAACTGTTAAAAAAAAAAGTATCGCTCTTAAAGGAACGGACCACAAGAGCAGAGGATGTATTAATGGTTTTTGCTATTCCTTATACAAAGTACTTCTAATTACCACACATAATTGCATGAGGTAAAGGAATTACCTGTAGCCAAAGGTAGAGAATCAATCCAGTGGTTTCCATGGAAAGTTACAGCTTTCATCTGCAGCTGAACTGAGCTGAATTTCTTGTCACTCCTGGGTACCTGCCACACCAGCCAGAGCAACGTGTTGATGAGCCCAGATACAGCTATCCAGGCATCACATCCTTTGTTCCTTCTTTTCYTTGAAAAAAACCCTGATGGTTCAGCAGCAGCAGGAAGCCTTGGGCTACCTAGGARGGTAGATGGAAAACTATTACCATTATGTACTTCAAAAATAACAAGAGAGTAATTTTCTCCTAATAGTAGGAATTATCCTGGATTAGTCTCCCTCCTGCAAACTAGCAAGCTCCAGGGATCTTGGTTATCTCTCTTTTATAAACTGGTGTATGAAAGGCCAACACTTAGCATCCTTCAGTCAGGAGTTAAAAAAAAGCATTCACATTTCAAAAGGTATGCACGGACCAGATGCACAATGGATTTGACCTGAACAACATTCAGTTAACCACTGGTTAACAGCAGGACTGCTGAAAGCCAGAACCAGGGGGATTGTTACATTTGGTTGCCTCTTGTGGCACCAAAACCCYTTCACACCATGTGCCAAAAAGTGGGGAGGGATGGTGAGAGAGGGAAGGGGAAATGTGGCTTGGAGACAGCACCCTAAATACCCAAGCTGTATTTTTATGTCATGGGATCAGCAGGGAGCATACCCAAGACAACAAAATCACCAGRACTGTTGTACAGTTTATGCTTTTTATGATTTAGAGGGAGATTTTCTATAGACATATCCACAATTTATCTGGAAATGTGCTAAGGGTTCCAGGAATCAAAACACTTTGACTTTATATAATTACTGGAAGGAGCAGGGAGGGCATTCAAGTTCATAGGGAAGCAGAAGTGAGAACAGGATACAAGCCTACAAGCCAAGAAAGCCCAGAAAACGGGAAGGGCCCTGTTTCTTACCTTTACATATGAATGTGTTAAAATGCAGATTGGGCAGGAGGGAGGAAAGGGAATGTAGGGGAGATACTSGTTTAAGATAAAAGGCTAAGGCTGGATTTAAGTAGTTGCTGGAGAAARTGGTGTGAGGTCTCAGCCCCACGGAGTTCAGCTGCATTCCTGCCCCATTCCCCAAGAGYCCCAGTGAGGGACAGAGCCCCAGGTACAAGAGAAGATGGAACCTGAGCTCTCCCTCTGCCTTTCCCTTCTGTCACCTCATTTCTAGATCTGTATTCAAGAACTGGGCTTTTTGCTGTACCTTCACCAACCTTGAAACGCTCTCCTTGTCTGACACTGAAAGAGGCCAGTGGATGTGGAAAAGCCACAGACTGAACCAAAGCCCCCTCCYTCCTGCCAGGGGCCTGCAAACCAGAAGAGTGGGAGGGGATTTGGGGAGGCTGGCTGGTATCCCCCTCACCAGAAGGGCCATTATCTCAGAGTCATTAGGCCTGGCAAAATCCATCTTCTGGCAGGTGCAGGGAAATGTTCCTACATGGTGAGCTGTGCCAGAGCAGTGTGTGACCCTGCTCATGGTGCAGATGCAGCACCAGCCTCAGCTCAGGGCAGTGAAGCAYCACTGACTCCAGTTTCTATGGTGTCAGGAGCCTGGCCCCAAGAAAACGTGCCTGCAATTACAATTCTGAGCACAATCACCTTGAATCAGCTGCAGAAAAGGAGGGTGTTTGAAGATTCGAGTATTGGCTTACACTAGAAGGCCACCATTTTCACCAGCTCGTGCCCACCCATCATGCAAGTAACATGTGAACACAGGCCCCACCTTTTTCTTATTCCTCAGTATTCCTCTTCTGCAATAGGGACTATTTACACATGCAYGGAGTGACAGGACARAGRGGRATTTMTTSAAWSTGATGGAGGGCAGGTTTACACTTGGTGTTAGGAAGAAATTCTTTACTCTGAGGATGGTGGCAACAGTTTGTTCAGAGAAACTCTAGATGATCTATCACTGGGAATGTTTAGGGCCASGTTGGATGAAGCTGTGCTCCAGTGCAAGGTGTCTGTGCCATGGCAGGGGGATTAGAATGAGATGATGTYGAATGTCCCTTCCAACCCACACCATCYTATGATTCAGGATTTAAGTGACCACAWAGCCTGAATAAATTACTTTCTGGCAAGAGCAGGACACACTGCAGAGAAAGGAACATGACACTGAAAATCAGCACCGTTCTCCAGCAGACTTTAGCTGGGAAAGAGGAAAGAAAATGTCATTTTTGCCAGGAGTTTGACTGCTGAAGAACTGCTTTGAAAGCTCACATAAAATAACTGTGGTGTTCCATGACAGCCACATCCTCTAAATGAGTCTGCTGTCTCTTCTAATTAGCACATCTCCATGAACATCTCAGGTTTTTATGTTACACACTTAGAGAACTATCATTACCTTCAAATTCAAGAGGGATGAAGTATCACAGGACACTGTACCAATACTAATAACCCTTAGGAGATGGAGACTTCCATGTTAACCAGCTGCAGGACTGAGAAAGGAAGAGCCTSATCTCCTCTCCCCTCTTTCGCTTCTTCTGTCTCTACTGAAACTTCTGTGTTTGCCCAAAATATTTGCACAGCAGGCACCCTCYTGCTTGCTCTGGTTCCTTAGATTTGGTCTTTCTTTTTGGTGCCTTGCCTGAATGGACTCCTGAATATACACACCAAGAAAAGGAGAAAAAACAAGGACAGATCCATGTCCAGCATGTGAGACAGACGTGCAGACTGAGGTGTGCACCTRAGGACCCAAGGCAAACACCTGCTTGGACACCCTCAGTTTTGACTTCTTTGGGAGGGTGACTCAGTGAACAATCCTTCTGTTCAGACACCTGGTTTGTCATACCCAAAACTGCTCCAAATCAGGGCAGGTGCAAGGAACCTGCTGCCCCCCTAGCAACGTGTGACATCCTATCATACCCATAACTCAATACCTAACAAAATCTCAGCATTGCATGGCTGACAGAGTTTTCAGCAAGAGACAGAACCACTCTTACTGACAGCATCAGCACTTGTTATACAAATTCAAACAACTCAGAGTCAACAACTGACAGAACTGATGTAGCCTTGCTCTGTAAGTGTCCTCTGCTTTGCAGCCCAAATGAAATAAAAGCCAAAGCAAGCAAATTAAACTGCATCCAGTAATTGCCATGGTCTTGTTCAGAAGGTCCCAGGGACAAAGGAATGAAGATGACAGCTATGATGATGTTCGTGAGGTTGTTTCTTTGAAAAATGGCCTAACCTGATATGACATGGAGGATAGCTGCTCATTAATTAGGAGAAGCTTATGGGGTCCACTGGACTCCAGCACATTTAGAAGTCAACAGTGCCAGTGGACAAGCAATGAAGAATATACTTGGATTGGTTCTAATGCAGCAAATTACATGGGCACAATATTGACACAACTGAAACAAACTCCCTACACTCTCTTCTTGTCCCCTGCACTGTTTGACACCTTTCTGCCCAGGAATGAGGGCAACCCAAATCAGAAGTAGATGCCCCAGTTTACCAGCAAATGCCCAAACTACACCAGAGTCTTTGTGCAGTCATGCTGTCTTTGTAGTATAGCAGAGCATAGACAGAGCAAATCTGGATGACTTTATGCACAGAGCATCCTTTAAAGGCAGCTTCCATTGCACTGTGCTTTTATCTTCCAGGCCTACCAAACTGTATCCCTGCCCACCAACCACCCCTGTTCCTGGGAATGTGTATTCCACTTTAATCCCACACATGAGAAACCATCAGCTGGCACATCACGTGGGCACAGCTTGTCCCTGTTCTGCCAGCAAAGATGCTGGTCTGTAGAGCATTTAAAGTCTTGTCAATGCCCAGAGGCAATATTTTCAGGTTTATATTACAGCTGGAGTGCCATGAACATATATTCTTCTCAGGCTTTTTCAAAACACCCAGCACAGCTGCATCAACAGCTGCACAGTTGGTTGTGCCAAGGGCAAGCAAGACCGTTTCAGTGTTATGGGGTGGTACACCAGAACACTCTCCTGGATGTTTCAAGCATGATTTGGGTTACTCTTTGGGATATTGCCACAGATTTGCTTCTAAGAAACGGGCTGCTGTATGTTATGGTTCCCCACTTGTATTGGGATTTGTCTTGGTGTAGTCCTGGGGTGCACATGTTGGCCCTGCTCTGCCTCCACGGTTAACCTGGAGTGTTCTGCATGAGACAGAAAGTTGGCAGTCTCATTTTTAATCACTTCTGGGCTTGATTTCATTAGTGTTTTTCCAGATTTTTATTTATGCCTTGTAAAATTTTCCAGAAAGCAGAAAATCTGTTCAGTCAGGTCACACTGTAAAGGATTTAACAGTTTGCCCCTCCACAAGGTCATCATGACATACTCCCCCTTGTCCCATCCTGCTCTGCCAAGAGGAACTTAAAAATCTCTTAAGTAACACCATGTAGGAATMAAAAAATCTCCTACTGCCTATAATGTCCAAGTGGAAGAAGATAACACACTGTGACTTGTAAAAACACACAGCCAACTGTTATRAAGTGATCAAAACCAAAAATCCATCTCTTAGGAGCTGCTCTCCCACTGTGCCCTCATGACTTCTGCACCTTTTTCACAGATCTTAGTGAGACATCCCATAATGTGCTGCTGTATGAATCCATGAAAATCTCCTACCCAGCAGCATGTCAGGGAGTCCTAGATGAACATACTATACTAGTCATGAGCTGAAAGAACTGGATGTATTAAAATTCCTTCTTTTTTGGGTCAACAAAAGACATTACAGTGCCCACAACGTATCAYGAGCCATCCACAGAACATCCGTGCTCCAGACATGACCCTGGCACAGCACAGGGCTGCAGGTTTGCATGATGGCACAAGCATGTGACAAGTCCATGTGGATGCCTAAGATAGATMTATTGAACTGGCTCCAATTCCTCTGAAATATCATCTTCCATAGTGAAGGATGGGCCTAAGAGGCAGGAAAGAATTCAGAAGGTGAAAAGCAATAGCTTTTTGTTTTTTAAACATCTCTATCCTAAGTTCAGTGTTTGACCATAAACATTCTGTATTTTCCAGGACAATATTTCAAGGAAAAAACAGAATAAAACTCACATTCCAAGGTCTCATCTTACAACTGGTGTAAAAATTTTAAAAGGGCAAGAGACAGGGCAACACCACCTTAAAACAATCCTGTTTGTCAAAATTCATGTGATGAGCAATGCAGCCTGCAGGTTACTATAGCAGCAAGATCCATCACCTAGGTGACCGAGCACTAATGATATCAACATTAACCTATCCCCACACACAACCTCACACTGTGCACATTAGCAGACTTSCATTTCTTGGAAGTTTGTCTTCACACCAACAGATGGACAGTAACAGAGCATATGGACAGGCTCCACAAGGAGTGAGCTTTCCTCACAGCACCAGCCTGCCTTGCTAAGGAGGATTATTTGACAGCACCACCTGTGGAAGTGCTGGGCACTTGAGGCAACCAATGTGTGCAACCTGATTTACTACCACAGGAATAAGTAGCAACTGGCCTAAAAGCTCTTTGGAAAAGCYTCACATACCAGAAGATCTGAAGCATAAATCCACATAAGATAGCAAGAACGTTCTGAGGCATGAGCAAGGTCTTCCCCCAAGGAACCATTCCTTTTGGGAAGCCAAACTTTCAGTAAGGAACACCAAATCCAGTAAATTCCCAAATTAATACATTACCTTTTCCATGAGGATCATCTATTYCAAACAAGGCCTTGCAAGCAGGTGCTGATGGCAGGGCACAGCAGCAGTCCCAGAGCCTGCCCTGAGCCATGAGTCCTGCGGACCAGGAGGGCAGCATGAGGCCACTGAGCTGTGATGGCACTCCAGGACCCAGGCACCTTCACTCAGCTCTGCCCGTAATGTTTTGCTGATGCTGTTTAATTCTGGGTGTCTGAGGAACACCCCTGAGCACAGATTTGTTTGTTTACAACCAAGTAACACATCGCTCTGATTACAAGGAGAGATTCAATTCCAGACTCCTGGAAAATAATGATTTTTGGTAACAACATTACATAATTGGTAACTTCCATAATCTAAGGGATCTGGGTTGCTAGGGCTAAAGGAAATTAAATGGAATTTGGATTTTTTTCCCCCTTTTGTTAACAGCTGCCTTTATATCCCATAGAGAAATTAACTGAAACAGAAATCTCTTTTCCTCCACTTTGATAAATAGGGATGACTCATTATTTCCCCATTTTGCTTTAAATATCCTGTCATCCTGGTGGTTTGCTTTGTTCAGCTATTCTCTCAACTTCATACAGCACCYGCTGTAATGACATAGGAAGTCCTCTGTGGTTCTTCTGCCCTTTCAATGCATCCCTTATCAGCAGAGCGCTCTGACCTTTAAACATCACTTACTTTACTTACCCAGCAGACAYTTGCCACCCCCAAACACAGCCTTTCTTTGATCACCACTTCCTAGATAGCAGGAGATTACATTATCTTGGCAGAACCAAAAAACATGCTGTACCTTTTCAAGCTTTTACCCTCATTGAAGCACAATCAGATTTTGGGCTGCAGTTTAAATTTTCAGAGTAGAGTGAGCTGTTCCAGCTTCACTGACACTTCAGGAGGTGGGGAAACGTCTTCAATCAAATTTATTTGTTGGAAACCTAATTTGTTTGCTTCTTTATGTTTTGCCCATCTTTCCCTGCCTATTGCCCCAYGTTCCTTGTGCTCATTAAAGACAGTGGTGTCTTTTACCTGCTTATCCATGCACAGGTTGAGTAAAGACCATTAGAAGCCAAGCCCTTTGTAATCCTGGAGAACAAAAGAATAACTGTCTTCCTGATAAAGCCAGTTTTCTTGTCTGTCTCTCACTGGCTGATGACGGGATAACACCAGCAAAAGAAAACAAGATCAAAGCCATAGTGCTGGATCTGAGAAGATAAAAGAAAAAAAAATTATTTTAGAGAGAAAGGAACCTTGGGCAGATGAGAGAAATAAGAAACACATTTCTACAGCAAACAATATTTTACACTGAGGCTAGACAAGGGCAGAAGATTCTAGGAGAAAACAGGGCCTCTCTGTTCCAGGGAAGACATCTAGTGGCAGAGGGCTACTGGGGCTTGAAAGATACAACCTCAACACAGAAAACACGTGAGCAGTGGAAAACAAAAAATAGGAGTGTGGAAATGGATAAATGTTTTATTGTTAGCTGAGAACTGTACMTCCTTTGTTGTTGACAAATGCAGCTTGAATTTTGCAGAGCTTTTGTATCTGCTTTCTTCCCTCATGAAAACGCCCTTCAGAGGTGATCCCCTACCCAGGAGTGCCCAAGGGCTCCCAACCCATCCCAGGGGAGGCTGGAGCTGCCTGGGGATGAGGCTCAGCCTGGGTGCAAGAGCCAAAGCCCAGATTTTGGGACAGAAGGATAAACCTGCCGTGATTTGCTGATGTCAGACAGGGAACAGTGTGACTTGAAACTTTCAGAGGGCTTAGCAGGTGAACAGTTCACATGGATGTAGTCAACTGCTCAAGAAACTCTCCATGGTCTTTTGTCTGTGAAATAAGGTTTTTCCAGTTCATGCCCCTAACACTCCTCTTCAGAGGATTGTACATCCAAGGTCAGCATGCCTTTCAGGACAACTGGGTACCTTTAATGAATAACTGCACTTTAAGCAGTAAATTTAATTAAAATGCATCACTACACTGGAGAAAATATCCAGCCCCTGTGACATTATGCAGTAGGGCCCTCAGTGTAGAGATACAAGATAAACAAGGAACACTCAGAGCCTGCATATCATCCTGCATGACTTAACTTCCTATTACCTTCTACCTTTTTTTCCTTCTAAATTCCTATTTATATTTATATATTTAGAAAAGATAACAGGCTGAGTGAACACTGCAGAACTGCCAACAGCTGCTCAGGTGGAAATYTTACCATTAGGAGGTTGAAGCCGTGCTCAACTGTGCAGAAACAAAACTTCCTTCACAAAACATCTCAATGGTGTTTCCTGCAGAAGCAATGAAATGCCCAGTGTTTCTAACTCCGTGACTCTCAGAAACAAAATGGGTCCTAAATGTTGTCCCATTTTAACTTTCCCACTTTAACTTTCATTTTTATCACCCTCAAAACCAAGACTGCAACAGGAAAAGGCAGTAGGATTTTGTCTGYTGCTGCAAAGTGCAAAGAGCAGCTGAAGACGGCACCTGAAAGGCAGTAATGTAAAGCTTTGTATTTTATCTAATGACAAACAAGAGAGACATTATCCCTCTGTTTCTTTGTGGGCAAGGCTCACACTACAGAAAACCCAAAAAATCAGGAGAGAACTGCTTCAACARATCATGAAAGGAGACCTTCAAAGGCAGGGGGCAAAGAACCTTTGGATCACTTTTTTTCTTYCCTTTTTATAATGCATAGAGGACATGAAAGAGGTTTTTCAGTAGTTCTTTCTTATTCTAAAAGGAATTTTTTTTTGTTCCTGCTTCTCTTTTACATTAAAAATTCAAGTCTTGCCTTGAATAGAAGGCTCTGAGGCAAACAGCATCAAAGTCAGCACAAGTCAGGATGAAGTACATTGGTAAGGACACTTGGTTACTGCCCATCATGCATTGGATTCTTAGGGTTGCATAAACGTCAACAAATTTGAAAGCTCAAAAACCTAACCAAATTTAGTTCAGATGCAACAAATACTTTCAGAATTGTAAAAAAAAAAAACCCACCTTTAAATTACTAATGGTTTAATTTAAAAAAATAAAATGTGTCCACAAAAATTCACAGCTGTGTTTGGGCACAAGAAACCTGTCCTTCATACTTGAAAATAAATCAGTGATAAATAAAAAGCCTTTTCATTGCCTTTACAACAATTTGTGTTGCTGGGTCTGTGGCTGGATATTTATTGTGATTTGGTCTGTAGTCAGTCTCTCTAGTGTGTCCAAAAGAAATCCCTCTTAAGGAAAAGCAGCAATSCATGTGTTCATCCTGTAACACCCCAGTGAGCAGCAGTGGGACAGTGACCGTGTCCTGGCTCAGCCTGGCCTCAGGCTCCAGGAACTGATTTAGCCTGACTTGCTATCCACATGTTTCAAAAGAGCAGTTCTGCCTCTCAGCTGTGCTGCCAGAGCCCTGCTGGGCTGCTCCAGTGTCCAAGTGCTGCCCCATGACCCCAAACCCAAACCCGAGCTGCGCCTTTTGCTCAGCTCTTACAAGGCAGCCAGAGGGTCACGGAGAAGGGAACGTACCCAGTGTCTGGAAAGGCTTAGCATTCACTGAAGGCAATGTTTAGGACACAAGTTGGAAATACTTGATCACAGCCTGTAACCTCAGCCCTAAAAGATGAGCCTGTGTGGTCCACATAAGGAGAGACCCCCAAGACTCTGTGGAAGGACAATTAAGCACTGGCACATCTTGAAGCACTTCACCTGCYTTTCTCCATCTTTTTTCCTTGCTGAGGTGATACCATCTTGCACTGCAAAGCCATGTTTCCTGTCCAGAAGCCTCCTTTTTCCCCCAGGACTTGAGCTAAACTAGGCTGTGCTTCCATGAATAGGCTTTTAAATTACCTTTTGAGACAGACTTGTATCCCAAATCCTTTTTCTGCTGAAGGGAAAGGTACTTTTTCAGTCAGCTGGTCTCTCTTCTGAGTGGGAAAGCAGCAGCAGATCTGTTGGAGAAGAACTGGAGACTATTTCTTGTGCAAAACCAGAACAGACTTCAAGTCTGTTGTACCTGCAAAATCACACACACACACAGTGAACTAGGCAGGAAGAGACCTTCAAGATCATCAAGTCCAGCCTATGRCCCAACACCTCCTCATCAACTAAACCATGGCAATCAATGAGTGCCACATCCAATCTTCTTTTAAAGAAGATGTCGTGTCCAGGGACAATGACTCCACCACCTCCCTGGGCAGCCAATTCCAATTGTGTGATTCCATGTGTGATCACCCTCACTGGATAATTTGTTTTAATGCTGGGTAATTTTCTCCACTGCTTCCAAGAGCCAGAAACCTTCTGCTCTCAGACTGGTTAATGGTGAAATTGTCTGCTAAAAATWTAAAAATACAAAATAAAAGCATCTTCTTATAACACGAATGCGTTGGATTTGGAAGTCAGCAAGAGGAAGCAGAGATGCATCTGATGACATTTTCAGTTTCTTTCTCRGGGTAGATGTGAGGTTTCAAAACTGAAGTGTTGTTGTAACCCTTTTTCCCTGTTCTGCATATGTGGTTTTGGTGGATTGCCTACTGAATATTGAGTTAGGGATTCWGAGAGCCTGCTCGTGTTCTCCAGTTCCTGTGGCTGTGTTGCCCTAGTCAGAATTAAATGATACATTACACCCTGAGTCACCCTCTGCTAATGCCTGCTAGATGTTTTCTGGCATCAAGGTTTAGAATTGAAGCTCATTGGAAATTTTCCATAGGGGAGATTTTCTGTTTCTGAGAAAAYRGGAATTTTCCATGAGGGAAAAAAAGGTGGTTTCTGCCAAAAAAAATTCATGAAAAGGTTTGTTTGTTAAGAGGATCAAAAGATAGTATTTCATTTTGAATTGGACTAACCAAACTGCGCAATGCCCCAGATGATCCACATGAATTTTGGATACTTTCTGATGGAGACAGTCCAGCCAGAGCCCAGTCTCACACAAAGTGAAGGCTGTGACTACAATTTTCAGATGGCCCAGTGTAACTGCTCATTTCTGACAGCCACGAGTGTCACAGGAGACAGGAGCTGATAATCGCTCAGGTACTGAACAGGGTYACAGTAGCCCCATGCAGGGATCCCCAGCAGCAGGACAGACCCAGACCCAGGTTTTCCAGTGAGGGAGGAAGATTTCCCAGACTTCCCCACACTTTCTGAGCTAAAATCTCCGTCTCCATATCCTTTCCTCTCCACCAGAGCCACCTCCTCCACTGAGCAGGGGAGTATCCTCATCTCTCCCATCCCCACTCCCTCTCAGCTCCCATTCTTGCTCCCTCACTATTCCAGAGTAAGACACCTGCTGGCCCCTCCTCTGCCCTCCCAGTAGTGATCACGAATGCTCTGAGATCTGGACTGTCAAGCCACCAGTAATTTTTCTGTTTCTTTGTTTGTTTCAATGGMCTCTTGATCAGGCCACAACATGCAGATAAACACCAAGGCAACCAGATCCCAAAGCTGAAACTGGTGTCACTGGGAATGACCAGTGTGTGGCCAGGCTCTGGTTCTGTGACCTTTGCTGCTCTASGGGCAAAAAGGAAGGGAAACTGCCCCACTTTGGAGCTTTCTCTGAGGTGTGGAGAACCTCAGATCAGAGCTACCAGTACTGTCTGGGTTGAGACCTTCTCACTTACCTTCTACCTCCAGAAGCTGAAGGCCACAGAGTAAAGTAAGGACATTCAAATTAAAACCATCTCCTGGCTGTCCAGGACTTTTGACCCTTCATCTATAAACCTTTTTTTTCATTCCCCTCCAAATAAAGCAAAACTTCTCTGTACATGAACATAAGACACTGCACACCTCAAAAGCAGACCACTCGGGGGCTCTCTGTTCGGGTCATGTTTGGGGCTCGTTTTTTCCCCTCTTGTACCAACTCAAAGGCCGTTTAATTTGTAATTATTGCCTTTTCTCTCCCTGAGAGTGCTGACCAATCAGGCAGACAGCACTGGCAGGAAGCAGTACTGGCAGATGTACTGGCACTGCATGGAAATTGCAAGGGTCAGTGTGAACTGGGCACAGGGGCAGGGGTCATTCTCACACCTGTCACTCCTGCTGGCAGMACAGTGCATCCAACAGCTGCAGCAGCAAATCTGTTTAGAGCTAATGGACTGAGAGAACAGGACATCAAAGATCTGATCTCCCCTGCTGCACACAGATGATTCAGTGCAGTCCCAGGATGACAGTGGCAGTGTCTGACCCTGCCTAGCCTGAGATCAGGGGGACACTGTCCCAGCCACCCACATACAGAAGGGACAGGAATGGCTGCAAAGCTCACCCACTGCTGAGCCCATCCCTGACACCAGAAACCCAAAGCCAAGTGTTCACACAAACAGGGCATTTCAAAAGCAGAGGTAGAACACTGGCTGCTTTATAAATCAATCTGTTATCAGCTCCAGGCCCYGAGTGCCCCACACAGCTGGGTGTGCATGGGTGGGGAGAGCACCTGGCTGCCCAACGCTGTCTGGCCACCAACCCACACATCAAACCTCCCAAAGCAAGGGTYACTCTGGTCAAACTGTGCTACTTTCACACCCCCAGCAACATCCCCATGTGCCASACACAGTGCTGAGCCCCATATGTGCAGTACCTGTGATCTACTCTCTGCCTATTCTCTAMTTTCTAATCATACACAAATAGTATTGCCTATAGGAAATCACATTACCTGCAGCAATGATACTGGATGATAAAACTCTTCACCCCTGGAGAAAAAGTGRTCAGACAAATGACTGCACTTCTTACATGAAATTACAGAATATTTCCCAAAAAACACGAAGAGCCCCTTGGAAAATGAGCTGAAAAGGCAACTAGCAGAAATCAGAGGGGATAAGCAAGAGTGGGAAGAAGTGATTTGCCAAGAGGATTGAGATTTTTTAAGTGTAAAATCAGACTCAGTAAGAGAGAGATTAACTAATAGAAAACAGAGGTGCAGAAAATATCCTTTATGGATTTGGAAATTCAGAAGCAAGGAGTACCACAGGAGATAAAGAAGATTTAAACCATCTTTCATCCCCAGAGTAGAAACAGGTCATGAGGCTGAGCACTGATGTTACCCGAGTCAAAGACAGGTAACACTGCTGTGTCATYGACAGCTCTGCTGCAGAACTGCATCTTTTCTGAGCCTTTGCTTCAATGCCTTATCCTGCTCCATGCTCTTTTTCCTGAAGGTTTTAAGCTAATCTGTGGGATGAGGCAAAAGGCATCAGGTCAGCCAGGAGGCTGCAGAAAGGTACCTCCCCAGCAAGGGGCAGCTGAACCATGTTTAAAAAAAGCAATATTATTGAAAATCCTTAAATGCTGCTTTCATGTAATTTGGATATTAGCTGGCATGACCCAGCACTCTGTAATTCCAGAGATAGAAGGTGAGGAAATTCAGCTGCTGCAACCTGAAGCTATATAGCCAAGCGAATCTTTTAGTCTCTCCAGACTATTTCTCAACCTGTCTARATGCCCTGAAACCTGAATTACAGCCTGATTTCTCAAACTGACACTTTTTCTTTTAATTCCATACAATCTGGAGATGCTGTTAAAGACCTGAGGCCAGAAGCTCAGCTGGTTCACACCTCAGCTCTTTAAACTGTACAACACACACTGCAGGCCTTATTTAGATGCCCTGAATTATAGTTACAAAAGCTTATTTTAAAATGTTAGAATACACAAAATTCTTAACATACCTAAAAAATCCATACTGCTTTTATTCTTGTTTTATGCTCAAATAAATGCAAACCTAATCCTTCAAGTCTCTGAATAACACTAAGCRACAYTAAATTCAGTTCAACATGCTTGAAYAGTAGAACCTTGTTAAACAATACTCACRTTTTTATTACCCTGAGTCTCTCCTTGGTGGGATGTGAGGTACATSMCCAAAGACTGCCACAAGAGAAAGAMAGAACTCTTAGTGGGATCCTCCATGACAGCTCAGTACAAGGAATTTGCTAGGGAAGAAATGGAAAAACACCTACCAATGATTTAATTTTAGACATAGAGAACAGACAACTGCAGTCATTTATCTTGTTTTTCCAAACAGATCCACTCCCACTAAAACATGTATAAATTGTATCTTTCTATTACAGCACAGTGTCTTCGTTCATTCCAAACATGCCCTCTTGATAAATTCTGTAGTGTTGCCAACATTAGGAACACCTGAGGTCAGAGTCACCTCGTGGTGTCACCTCCAGCCATGTGTCACTCTCCCTTGGTGCACGTAATCCTGCTACTGGGATGACACAGCCCCACCACAATACAGCTGGAAAACTCTCCTGCAATAGAAAACCTTTAGCCTGAAGAGTCCTGAATGGGAAGTGACAGAGAGTTAGTTCTGGCCAGGGCATTTGTGTGCAAGCACACAAAATATCCTTACTCATGCAAATCAGAAAGAGCCCTTTAATAATGAGCTTGCCTTTATTTTTTTTTGTGTACACAATACACTCACCAACAATCTAAATATATGTTGGCTGTGTAACTTGGGGTTTTGTGGTGATTTTTTAAATAGAGGTGCGTCAACATTTATTTTAAAATAGGAAGAACACAGGATCATAGAATGGTTTGGGTGGGAAGGGACTTTAAARATCATCTCATTCCAGCCCCCCTGCCAAGGGCAGGACACCTTCCACTAGTYCAGGTTGCTCAGAGCTCCATCCAGGGATGGGACAGCCACAGCTTCTCTGGGCAACCTGTTCCAGTGCCTCACCACGCTTACAGGAAAAAAATGTCTTCCTACTATCTAATTCAAACCTGCCCTCCTTCAATTTAAAGCCACTTTTCCTTTTCCTGTCACTCCATGTTCTTGCATTTAAGTCTCTCTCCATCATTCTTCTCTCATGAAATAGCCAATTTCCTTCAAAGATTGCAATATATTGATATTACCCTCTGCTCTCTCCTTTTAACTCTTTTCCAAATGGTGATTTTTGGAATGCCTCAGTCTAGTTTTGTCTGCCTCTAGTCACATGGCATTTAAACTGGATCTRCCCTGGTTAATACAGATGCCATACACCAGAAACAATTCTTCCCAAGTTCAGTGTGCTCAGACTAAGTGGAACACTTAYTTAAAGAAGCAACATGTAAAAGAACAGGGTAACGTTTTCCTCATTATTACTAAGCATCAACTTAAATTGCAATATGCTGGARAGCTGAAACAATCAGCACTTAAAACAGCCTTACAAAGGCCAAAACCTTCGGAAAAAGGAGGACGGATGTATCAGGAGAAATAACCACAAARGTGACAGAAAATAAAGGCACTGCCTTTAAAATGAAAATATGAAAATACRACATCAGAAATTATGGCACCAGCTCAAGTGAACAGCCATGGAGCAAAAGCAAAACAGCCAGGGAAATAATTCAACACAGCAGCCAACGAACATCAACAAAGGGGAACAGGAATAGAAGCACAAGGCAAATGGATCAAGTCGCCTGCTAGGAATGACTGGGCAGGCCACAAACAGAGGCAAACTTACTGAAAGCAGCTTTGTTCACAACCTGATCCCACAGTTCCAAGGACAACTCCTACTGGGGTTACTGGAGATGGCAGCTCAGAAGRCAGGTCCTGCTGATCAACTCTGTGGGGAAAACAAATTTTAAGAAGTCACAGAAACATCTTGGATTTTCCATRCCTCCTTCCACCAGGGCTATTTCTAACACCCTGTCAAGTACCCAACTTGTCCACTCAATTAAAATCTGCAGTTTGACTTAAAGTATAAATTACTCTTTCCCCCTCTAATCATCTTCCTGTCACTGAGGAGAAATGCCAGCACTTTCTATAGAGGCTCACGCAGGTATAGTCTSTAGTGGGAGTTATCAAAGACCAAATATTTATTTGTAAAGTAATTATGTTCCTGMAGGAAAACTTTTTCCCTTCAGTAATTCTGCTGCAGAAATCTGCATCAAAGCTCCTGAATGTTGTTTAAAACATAACCCTGTGCTGGTATTTGCCACACTGCAGAACCTGGGGTGTTACCTGTGACAGCAGCTCCAGAGGCAGGGAGGAGACCCCGGCATGGCCTAAGGAAAGGGGAACCAATGACAGACAGCTTCTGAAAATTAGAGACAAGTGAAGGGCCAAAAATTTAACAACCAATCCTATGAGGTCCTGTCTCCAGCCACAATGCAGGAAATAGCATCTCCTTTCTTCGCCCTTGGTCATGCCAAAAAGAAATAGAATCAGGAATAGTAATACAAAAGAGGCAAGGGAGGCTACCAACGATTAATTAAAATTGATTGCATCTCTAATACAGCACTTTGTCTTAATTCTTTAAAAATGTTTGCACAAGCCAGAGCTTTTCATGGTTTAAAATGATTTCATATTTGAAAAGGAGAAAGCTGAGCCACTCTAAAGCAATAAGACATGATGCACATCCATAAGAAACTGATCCTCTTCAGTAACACAGTAAAGAACACACATTTTTCTTCAAAATTTTATTTTAATTTAAATTATGGGGCCAGCCAGATTTTTTGTATACGAAACGCATTTTCCTCAGGAGAAATGAAATGCTACCACGGAAATAGAATTACAATTGTATACATCTCTTATTTAAAAAAAAAAAAAAGCCAAACAAAAAACCGCTTGCATTTAAATATGTTTTAGTAATACCCTTATGCCTTCAAGCAGATAAGAAACCACTTCCAGAACAAGTTTTTTTAATATGAACAGCACATCAAAGGAGCTTTAATTTAAATACAACTTCTTTTCGAAAGCCAACATTCAAATGTTTCCACATATTAAAAAAGTCACCATAGCCATTGATTCCAAGGCCTAATAGAGTAGCCTCTATCCCAGTCCAAATGTTTTCACTTCTTTACACATAGAAATCTTCAACACATCTACGTCTTTCTAAAGAGGAAGCCTTACGTGTTATGGTGAGTAACTTGGCAAATAATGTTTTCCTCCACTCAGCTATGATAAACCAAAATATAACAGACAGTTAGTACTGAACTACAACACCACCTCAGTGCCAGTTCTGCCTGGGATCTCCAGAAAGAGGAAGCTATTTTCTTTCCTGTAAGCAAAATGATTCTGTTTGCAAAGGACATGTTAAGAACATTTAAAAAAACCAATTCTAACATTAAGAGCAGTTTTAAACAACYGAGTGAAAACACTCAATTTTCAGGAGCTCTCAGACTTCCCTTGTGAAGGCTTTCAAATCAGCTTCAACGTCACTGATTGCGAAATATTTCAAATGGGAAGAGGACAGGAAGCAACAAACATTTTCTGTAGCATTCGCAATCATTCAGTCATGCAGAATTGGAACTTTCAGACCCCAATCCATAAGTTTTTGCTTGGTTGTGATCTTAGCATTACTATATGATGGATAGATACAATTTTAATAACATCATTTAGCTATATTTAGTAGATTCCTTTTGTATGGTCACAGTAACAAAAAAACATGGTGCAAAATCAGTTGGGTTTTCTGGTTTTATAAATACTGATAGTTTGCAGCATTAAAGAATAAAATCAACAAAAAATTAAATCATTTTGTTATCCTAGGACACCTCTGAAATTGTTTCTTGAGGTCGGAGGGAATTAAATCATTCACTTACACAACTATTGTACGAGTTATTTACTGTAAGAAATGACGCACTGCAGGCTCCCCAGAAGTCAGAGGAATCGATATTAATTTAGCATAATCCTTGCCATTTGCAGAGCTGGTGAGCACAATGCTAGTTTAATTAAATAAGGCCAATATTATCTGGTAAGAACGCAGTAGAAAGGGTTCCAGTTCTCTGTTTCAGCCTACYCTAATTGATGGCACCCCATTAGATAAGTGAATACAAAGAATTTGTTTGGGTTTGGGTTTTTGTTTCCTTTTAAATGCTGCAGTACTTGGGATTGTTAAATCAGCATTTCCATGTGATCTAAGTATTCAATTACATATGAGCATTCATTTTGCAAAAACTCAATATTAGGTAATAGTTACAGACTAATACAATAACATTCCTCTGCTGTACAAATTAAATCATATTTTAAAGAAATGAGCAGCCTAGGAGTTATATACAAAAGAAACCAGCAAGCATTGTTGAAATGAAATGCAAAATGTCACTGCTAGGTCTACTGTCTGAAATACCTTTAAAGTAAAATTAACAAAAACCCTTAGAACATATTTCCAAGTTTACAAGTCAAGTCTCAGAAAAATCAAATCATGTCAAAAAAAATTCTATAAAGCAGTGAAAGGCATATATACATTTTCCTTATGAACCTTGAGATTTCACTCTTTTAAAAGTTGCTAAGTTTCAATATCAGTTTATTTGCAAGACAACTGTTTATCCCAGTAAGCTCACATCTTAGATACATTTCCCCTTTGATTACAAATAAAGCACTGCACATTTTTTTTTTTTTAAATCAAGGCATATAATCTTATACTATGGTGCCAGGTATGCACAGGTCACATTGTGCTCATTATCTCAAACAAGGTAAGTGCAAACATACAGATTTATTCAGATTTGCAAGCATGCAACCTGTTACTTAACTACATTAATACCTTCTCTCCTAAACCAAACTAGTATCTATATGTTTGCTTTCACGAACCTAGAATCTTTTCTTTTCAGGACTCCTAAAACAAGCAGTGTCTTTGAATTCTGAAATGACACAAATATCAAGAAAGTCCACATTGTGCAAGAAAGCAGCAGCTATGTTTCTCAACTTGGACTAAAAATGAAAAGAGAAAAACAAAAACCGTTCACTGAACAGCAGATTAGCAGTAATGTTCCTCATGAATCGATAAGAGTGCCTGATGCTGAATATCTAACAGCAAATGCTGAATTTGGGTTTAATATTTTAAAGGTTTATTGGAGTTTAAGCTTCTTGCTGTGCTGGTCTCTTCAAATCCCTGATCTGTTTAACTAAATAGGTCTTCTCATCATTAAATTGTTCATCCTCGGTCCTGTCATTCTGAAACTTGCTGAGGAACTCAATAAGTTTGGTCTGGTTCTTTAGAAGGATGTCTAATATAGGCTGTGTCTTGTTAGGATTGGCTACAAACACCTGCAAGAAAATAAAAGGCATTGAGCACAACAGTGAGAAACAGAAGGTTAAGTTAAAAAAAATTATCTAACAAAATGCTGCTGATGATAACCTAAAAATGTTTTAATTATTCCAATGTCCTACAGAAAAAAACAATGGCAGTAAATGCAAGTTTGTAAATAAAATGAGGGGTTTTTTTAGATCAGGACACAAGCTGAATACCAGTTCCAAAGTAAATTTTGTCAGTGGGGCATGAYCAGCTACATCCTCTGCAGAAATCACTGAAGACACCTCATGGCTATATCTYATAACAAATGCATGGTTTATTAATGAATATACAACATCTGATGGATATCTAACAGCTTACTGCAAAGTTTTAGACCTCAAGTTACAACTCTCAGCTGCCAGTCTGAAAATCAGACATTGCAAATTGCAATTTAGGTGACCTAAACTTACTGCTATTCTTCAGAGATCATGCAGCATGATAAAAACACTCTTGAACTCCAGGGTGCTCCATGATTTTATATGGAATCACGAATTCCTCACCTTACTGTACTTAATTTCAAAATTTCCTAAGAGAGATTACACTGACAATCACATGGAAGCCCCTGAGTGGTTTCTAAACAGTTTTCAAAAGATAACCAAGGTATCTGTTTGTAAAGATGGATCATAATAAAGCAAACATGAGTGTTCCCTTTATTTAATCACTTAGCAGGCATTAAGATAAGCTCCTTTTAGGCTCAGCTAAGTAATTTACTCAATTAAACAACTTCTGGTCAGATTATCTTTGTTTCATGTTTTAAACRTACCTTGAACACATGGAAGGCCTCAAACTGAATGTTACGACTCTTGTCTCGTAGAAGGTTCATCATTAATTTGAGATTTTCAGGTTTACTGATGTACTTTGTCATAATTGTGAAGTTGTGTCTGTCCAGTAACAATTCACCAAGAAGCTAAAGGTAGAAAACAAACCCAAATGAAAAAATTACCAACATTTGACGTAAGAATCAACTTCTTTATAAATACTTTCAAACACCCTGAAATGGTGTGTCTGTGAATGCAGTAACAGTGGTTGGTAATATAGTAATAACAGAACTAAGTGCCCCAAATTTCAAAGTGCAGAGTGCATTTTCCTCTTATTTCAATGATTCAGTTTCCCTTTCTCCMAGAAAGCARAAAATCACATTTTGTCTCCCTGGTTATGAACTGGAAATGAAAGGTAAGTAATTATTTCTTTTTTCCTATGAGTTCATTATTTTTTTCCTTTATACAGAAGCTATTCAGCATCAAAAAGAATGCCTTTTCAAAAAAAAAAATTAAAAACCAACAAACAGGTTATTACATCAAATGAGAAATACTGACACTTCTTTTGCTACCTTCTTTATCCTAAAGGGTCTGAAGGATTTTCCCCAAAAGGATCAACTTTGCTGCAAGCTCTGTAGCACATTTATGTTTACTGTTGCTTACCTACTTGAATGTAAAATTAGTATTGCTCTAGGCACATCACATGAATCTGTTAAATTATTTAAATATACTCAGACTTGTAGAAGGAAAATATTGAAAATAAAGAAAATTGAAGAGAAATTACTTGGGTCTGTGCTGAACACTAAAGAATGTAAAAATTGTACCACAAAAAAGCAGCTGACCCCAAGAATTAAAATATATGGGGAATAAAAATAAATACTATTCAAGGCAGTTACAAGCCATTTCAAGTAAAGTTAACTCACCTTGAAATTAAACGGAATCTCTAACTTTGCATTTAAGAAGGAAAACAATTGCCTTACCTTAAGTGACTGTCTTTTTGTCACATAATTTTCTGAATGAAGTAACTTCTCGTATTCACTGAAGAACTAAACACAAAACAAAGAGAAGGGTTAAGACTTCTCCAAATGTAATAAGCATCTTCTTCCAAATTATTGCAACGAAGTGGAAGAGATGCAAATCGCTAACAAAAACATAAATAAAATCTAAAATCTTAGTAGGTTCCTGTAAGTCACTATGGTTAAACATTGTGTACRCTTTAAAAAATGTATTTGTGCTTTACGGAGCTGCAAGGTTAAGCTGCAGTGCAGTGAAAGGAGTTACTTCTTTCTTTCTTTAAACCGTAATAGGAACAGGCTGCTCAGAGAAGCTGTGGATTCTCCATCCCTGGAATTGCTCAATGCCAGGCTGGACAGAGCTCTGAGCAGCCCGGTGTCTGTGCCATGGCAGGGGGGTTGGTTCGAGCTGATCTTGAGGGTGCTCCCTAGCAGGGCTGTGCTGTGACAGCTCCTGACCGGGCACGGCTCCCAAATCCCGGCTCCCAAATCCCGGCTCCCAAATCCCGGCTCCAGGGATCGCTGGAAAGCAGGGCACGGGCTCCCTCTGGCGGAGAAGCCAGGCCTGGCTCCCACAGCACCACAATGCTGCCACCTTTGCCTCCTTTAATTGTAATCTGCTCTAAATTCAGCTGCCTTAATATCGTGTGGAAATCTCCAACACCAGAGCTGAACAAGGAATAAACCCTTCTTCAAATAAGATACACAGCACTAGAAAGCTCTAAATATTAAAAGGTGTCTGCTCACCCTGTCGTAATGTTGTTCCAAAAATTCTGCACTTAACAACTTGTGTCTTGTAAGCAAATCCTGCAAAAAAGCACAAACCCAGTATTTTCACTAAAAGATTAAACAGTACATAGACAATCTCATTAAACAGTGAGTACACATAAAACATTCAATCCAATATTCTGCTATTTCATTAAAAAAACTTAATTTAGGACATCAATGCGATTACCTGGATACTGCTAAGGATCTTGGCATCACTTGTGTGATGGGTTACTTTAATTCACAGATAAATTGCCTGTGAAATTATCACTGAAGAGTGCTATTTATGGATCAAGGCTATGCTCTGCACACGACTACACACAACCACGGTTAAAACCCACCATTTGGTATTGATTAATATTATGCTTATTGCCCCCTAACTGATTGGTTTAGGGCCACAAAAAATTTTCCCAGACAAAGCAACAGCATCAAATATYCACAGAAGGAACTGCAGACCCAGATTTAAAACCCCTGGCATGGAAGTACATGTGTATYGAGGAAATGCATGACACATCTTACTCTCTAGAACAAAATACTGAGGAGCAAATATAGTAAATGTATTTACAGGTGTGTCATGCATTCTGAGAAATAAGAAAGTAGTGTTCAGTTTACCCATCTGCATCACACCTATTTTCTTCCCTCTCTCAAGACTTGTTTTGCCAAGAATCTGACACAGACTGGTTCCCAAAGCAGAGAACTACAGAAGCAGCATTTCCAAAGGCTGTGAGGAAATTACCTTGAATGTGGCAAATGCATCGGAAGCGATGTCRAACGTTGACATTTCCACGTATCTGAAGAAATCGTAGAATTGTTCTGACCACAAGATGATTTTAGCAAGTGGYTCATGCCGGATGCATTCTCTAAGCATTATCCCACAATTTAGAGCAATTTCTGGAGATTCGTACCTATTAAGAAAAACAAACCACCATCCTTTACAAATTTATAAATTTGCACAAGTTAACACTGCAACACCAGATTGCTAATTACAGTGTTCAGTCTATCAAATAAAAAAAACCCTTAAAAATTAGACGTACTTATTCCTGCATTAAATTCCATTTTTAAGTATTTCTACAAAATATTTCTGAAATAGCTGTAGTTACAATTATAGCCAATTCAAACAATTTTCACAAACTGAGAAACAAGACTAAATAAAAATACTTYATTTGTTCTCAAAATCAGTTTTCTTGTTCCATATTGGTGGGATTGCAGACATCTGGAAAAGCTGTAAATGATTTGTCTTGAAAGCTGCTTGCTTAAACATGACAGAAATTTACATAAAACTTTCCATATGAGCATGAGGGGTTAATGATACTGGGCATAAATTCAGATCTCCTCTTTCATTAAACCATTTTTCARCATCACAGGCTGCTCTGCACATGATAGGGTTCCAGCTTCTGGAGCAGTCACAGCCTCTCACATGCCTTCCTGCCTCACACCTAGAGAATCCTCCATCCTAAACCACTAGAAGCTAATTGAAATTCCCCAAAATTTCAGGAAAAAGGTATTGTGCATACTGAGCATTAACTATACTACCCTACAAAAACATTTCCTTATGAAATAATTTTCATTAAATCTCGCAGTACTTCCCCATTCAAATTGTCATGGAGATCTGAAATCAATCGAACTTTTTGCAATTCAGGCCACAGTTTAAATTCACATAAATTTGTCTCAGTTGGATACCAGATGTAACCATGTAAGTTGCTAAATGCCCATTTCAAACATCCTGRCTTATGAGTTTCAATAAAGCCTGTGAGAATAAAGTTCTCTAAGAGTAACAACACAGACTAAAAATGAGCACCAATGTGTTGCAGCCTTCACTCAATCACTAATCAATGAGAACGTGCTAAGAAAGCAGTTTTATCTCTCAGCACCTCAAATATCTTTGCCTTCTTTGGTAAATTATTTTGAAGCACTGCATCAATTTCTTTTGCATTATGCCACAATTCTTTCTTTTTTTTTGTCCCTCTAATGCTTAAATCTCACTCAGTAATGCAGGGGGGGGAAAAAGCAGCTGCTCTGGCAGACAAATGTAGATCTTATGCTCATATGATGTGAAGTATTCCACACTGCTTCTGGTGCTAAACCTTTGGAGTCAGCATGAAACTAAGAGATGTGAGACTCCTGCTTTCTCCACAGAGAAAGTTTCCTGTATGATACATTTTCCAGTGGCTTACACAAATGGCCAGGATTAGGCAAACACGGAGATGTTACAATAAAACAGCCCAGTGTACCATGCACGGCAGATCAGTCAGCTCCTTTGAGGACTACTGTGAACTAGGGAGGAGGAAAAACACAATTAAGCTTCCTGTTTATATGTTAAAAATATACCTGATTATCCTCACCATCTCAATGCTACCAACAGGCAAGTACCCCACTGAGATGAGAGGCCCGTTCATACACCCTTTAGTTAACCCAGGAGGTGGAATAAGTACTTACAGCAAGCTTACCCAGCAGCTGTAGCCAGAATTATAAATAGCTGTATTCTTTAAAATAGTTTATTAATGTTTGATAAGCTTTTCTGTCCCAAAATAACACACTGGAATTGCAATTTTCAGAACTCTCTTAATTAATGTTATTGGAAATGCAAGCAATTACTTTCTGCTCTYGTTTGAGAGCTGCAGCTCTACATACCCAACCACATATTCAGTATGGCATGACCCTCCAACATCCAGCACACCAGATATTACAAGAAGAGAGGAAGACACAGTTGTCTGGCACGCACAATATGCCACAAATCACTCTTTCTTTGGTCAGGTTTGTGTTGGTGTGTTTGTGTCAATATAGGAACATAAATCACTATGAATAAGAAATCTAAGACCATACTAAGAGAGGCCARCAAATTGGAAATTACAGCGGTTAAAAGGAAAAAAGCCTTCAACTCTTGATGAATGAGTAAGCTCACAAGAAAATAGTTTAAATAGGCTCAAATAGGATACTGAAAGGAAAACATCTCACGACCCCAGTAAGAGTATTTTAGATTACTAACAGTTCTCAATTTTCACTTACATTTCATGCAGAAGTAGACTGCTGGTGTTTTATTACTTAAATTTKCCTTTACTTAGGGGAATTACAGACCCCAAAATGAAGGAATAAGAAAATAAAACCCACCATATTGCAAAGGAACAAACACGTCAGAACTCACTGCTTCTGTATCCATTTAAAAACTCCTAACTTCATGTAAAAGCATTTTTATGCTTCACTGTGCACATACCCTTTTAATAGCATGAATAAGATATTCTGTTGAGTGCAGATGTATTCAACTGTGGGAGTTCTTGTACCAATTTGTCTTCTGAGAATGTTGTTGAAAATTTGTGCAACATCTTTCTTGCCCTGTCAAAAACATCAGCAGTTAAACACGTAATATTGAAGTCCACAAGCAAGTTAACAATTAAACATTACCATAACCTCGTGCAGTCATACTGGGGGAGTTCTGCAGCTCACTCAGCCTCCATACTCTGACCTTGAACAGATTCAATATTCTGTTTCTTYATGCCCATTTCAAATATGCCACAGCACTAAAAACATTACATCACATTGCAGCCAGACCACGGGTAATTTTTACATTTACATTCAGAAGTAAAGCCAGATGATGTTTCTACGTAGCATCAATTTTCTGGGCTTATTTTATATTTGTTTCTGCTATTAGCATAACAGTTTTTAACTGGGCTCTTGCCTGGAAGTGCTCTTCAACATTCCATTATCTGCTCCCCTTGTCTAGGAACACACAATGCAACCATTAGGAGTGTGCAGAGCATTTCCCATTGCAGTGTTAACATCCAGCTTAGAACTGGAACTTATGAAAGTTAAATAAATAAATAAATAAATAAATAAATAAATAAATAAATAAATAATGCACACATAAATCATCCACCGATCCAAAATGAAAGTCTCACATTTTTCAGTGCACAAAAGAAGTATAAATAGGACCAGGATGCTGGAATTCAGCAAAATTATACACAAAAATAAATGCCCAAGGATAGCACCAGACTGTATAAAAGGAACTGGAAATGTTCTTTGTTGAATATATACACAGCTACTATTTATTTATTCTGTCAGACCATAGCTGAAGATGACAAACTGGTAGAGACATCTAACAAAAAGCTGATWATAAACATAAGCACTTTTCACTGTCATACACATGCACCATTTAAAAGCCAGAYTTCTGCAATTAACTGTCCATTCTGGACTGCACAAAGACACCCTCAGGATTATGTGCTATCAATTTAATCCAGAAAAACACCAGACAAATTTGTACCAAGCTTGGATCTCCAAATAAAGGCCTGTTAAGGAACCCCACCTAAAGGCTCCCTGAATGTTATACACCAAACCTGTATGTACATAATGTTTCTTGACAAGCTCTAGCTGTACTGTAAATCTCCTGAGTAACACCAGGAAGCTTTTGAGTAAAATGTAGGGTGTATTTAACCAGCAAGAATTTTAAAAACAACATCAATTATTTAAAATTCTGTTTTCTAATAAGAAAAACAGACTGCATGAGAAAAAATGAAATGTTTATGAAAACGTAGGAGGACTGCAGTTTTACAAGTGGCATGTTTGTGAATTACCACGGACAGTTTTKTTGGAGTGTTGTTTTCAGGATATAAGAGATTRTTTGTAAACGCTTGTTTTCTCAATTACAATTCCATTGAAAGCCAGCCCAAAGCAACACCAGAACTCTTTGTTCTGACATGAGTAGAGCAGTGTTTGCAAAAATTGCTTTACTCAAACTCCACATAATATAGTCATCAACTCTCATTCAYCAGCGCTGCCAGTTGTGCGCTGGATCGCAGCGTTTGCCTTGGACTCTCCAGTAAGAACAGCATTTCCTTACTGTGCCCATCATGGAGCTGCCAGGGGCACACAGCAATCCCACAGCGAGGTTTTGTCACAGGGATGTCTTGCCAAGTGACCTCATGGCCTAAAACAACAGCAAACAGGCCCCAGCCCCTGTGCCAACAGTCACGACGGCCAGAGGTGAGAGGGACACTGTGCTTGTATTGTCTTCTCAGCAGAAGGATTCAGCTCCCATGGGCAAAAGGCAGTTTTGTTTGTTTGGTTTTTTWAAATTCTTCATTTAAAAACCCCCAAAACAACAGAACGAATAACACAGCTTCACCAGGGGTAACATCTCRTTCAGTGCAAATCAGCGAGGAGCTAAGTGGTAAGTGTTAAGACTGGCAAGGAGATGATTGTATTGACTGCTTTACCTGGAAAGCAAACTTCCAGAGAAGGGCGACACTTTAAACAGGACTGTGCATACAGCGAGGGCTTCACAATTTCAGTTTTCTTCATTAACACATCATATTTATTATTTTTTTAGTTTTTACTTCTTACTTTTCTATGGGTTGTTTTCAYCATAGCAATTCAGATTCAAGTACATTTGAAACAGTTAAGAGTCACAATGAACAGTGACTATCTATTAACAAGCTATCTATTCCTGTTCTACTTCTTCAGAAGTGAGACTGAAAGGGAAAAAGTTTAATTTGTCACTGAATAACCTCCAGCTGTGGTGGCATGCCAGAAAGAAAAAATTCTAGACCCACTCTTCAAGTTTAACAAYCAACAGAAAATCAAACATGTATTTCCATCAGTAACAGGAAAATGGTTTCAAACCCAGTAAACCCCCATAGACGTTTGGGATGTCCAAGCCAACATGTGATTGGCTTTGTAACAGCTGGGAAGCTGGAGCACATCTGGAGCACAGGTGTGTTGATAGTGATTCTAGGTAACAACAATAGCTGGACATTCTGCCAGATCCCACCCATAAAAAGCAGCCAGGATCCAGCCTAGAAAGCAGCAAATGACTCSTTCTCTCTCCAAGGGGAACCATCACATCCTCGTGAAACAAAGCAGCAGAAGAGCCACAGGCAGGAAACAACTCACAATCTTTCCAAGTCCCCCAAGAATAAAAAGCATAGTTCTCCTTAATGAGAGCAAGCCTGTGCAAATCGTTATCATTCTTCATTACCAGGAGATAATGAAGGTTTCCTTTGCTAATAAGTGGGCTGAGTAAACACCAGGCTGATATCAATCTAGTGGTCAGCAAAATCCAGATGATGTTTCATGATTTCCTTTCCTTAGCAATTAAAGGCCATCGCATTTCAGCATCCCCTCTCAGCTTTCCCAGCTCTCCTTGCTTATTTAACAATCTGAATGTTTTATGTATGGTATAAACAGTTGTGTGGGTAGGGGAAAATACCACTGTATTACAATTAAACACAAATCAGAGGCAGTTATGGGTGGGGTGCAGGRGAAAGAAAAAAGAACAGGGAAGAAAGCCATTGTTTTTGGAATGTCAAACTACAATAGGACTTTAAACTGTTGTGTTTGTATTGTGAGCGACTTGTTTATGAACAATCCCAATTTTAAGCAATCTTAAGTGGGATGGTCTTTATGGTTGAGGCTGTGGAGTGAGATACATGGGGTTTGGCTCCTTTCCGAGACAACCACACGCTTCTTGTGAGACCTCAGGGAAAAGAGAAAAATCCAATTGTACTGCAATGTCTTATAACTAAATGGGAGGATTTTTCACTATTGTGCTGGGAAGGTAAATTATGCCATGTGATGTGGTGACAAATGCCACAGAGGCTTGTAKAGAGATACTTTCAAATATAAGTAAGTATTGGTATTTTGAATTGACCAATAAAAACTTGAGCTTGTTTTTTTAATATACAGAATAAAGATGAGCAGAAGTAAAAAGGTTGCATCACTTGTTTCCAAAAAGAGAGAAATACTGGACTGTTAATAAAAGTAACAGCTTTGAATTACACATTTAAATTTTTTCATAAATGTTGCAATAATTCTATTACTTTTCCAAGTAACTTGATATAGCAAGATGAACAYGTAGATACATCTTGTAGTATCAAGGTTTGTGTTCACTGTGGTATTACTGAGAGATTAACCCTTCTGCATACCCAACAATTATTAATTAATCCATAATTTTAACAAAACTGTACTATCAGATTAGAGGTTTAGCTACTTCMAATTTGTGTTTTAAAACACATTTTCTATTTTTATATGCCTAAATTCACAGATTGTATATTCTATAGTTGCTCAATTTTCTGCACAGTTTGAAACAATGAGCTCCCTTTCTAACAAATTTGTTGTAACCACAAAGTAAAAGCTGAAGACTTAAATATCCATTAAATTGGTAGGAATTCAGATATGTTTAACACGCAGAATAGAAGAAATGTCAAAGCTCTTTTCTTACCTCAAAATCAATTAGCTGCAAGTCAGCTACTAGGGTACTAAGAAGACCACTGTTGTACAGCTCCTGAGCAAGCTGTGCCACAGCTTCTGTTTGGGGTTCTTTTTCATTTGTGCCATACAAGATTTCTTTCATGGCAACAAGGTTTTTTGAGACCTCCTCTGTTGCCTAAAGAAAATGGGAAAAMAATACAGTTAGAACACAATGCCATTTGTCTTTCTAACTGCATACTCTTTTATTCTTAACATCTGCAAACTTCCATTTGCAGGGGGGGGAATAATCAGGAAATGACAATCTGTTAAAAAAAACAATAGATATTCTTTCCACAAATAAGACTGTTACGAGAGCGGTATTTAAAAAAAAAACCCAAACAACAAAAAGCAGTGGCAAGGCATACACAATTTAGTTACAAAGGTACAAATATCTTACTTCTATTGCCTTTCAACTTCCCATTCAAAAATCCCCTAAAGAACAGCAATAGGGCGAAAAAACCTAACAAGATTTCTATTCTGTTAAACAGAGTTATGTAGGATCAGACTGGAACACATGACATGGAGACTCATGCCTGTCCCTAGTAAACTGCTCAGAGAGACCAAATGTATCCTTCCTGTGGATTTTGCACACATCAGGCTTTGKCAGATCCTAGGCTCCCATTCCAGGTACTRTGGGTGAATTTTTCCTTTCCAACARACAAAACCTCAAGGAGAACCTATTTTAATTTTCAGKTTATCTCAGCATACAAGAACAAACTGGTAAACAGACCCAGAAAGAGGTACACTCAAAAGGACACAGGAGATAATTAAACACCTAAAATCCTTCCCTGTCTGAAGTCCATCTTACAGAACATGTACAGGTCTGACCTGTCATTTGTGAAGCATTCCTAAGCTGCCATAATGAGCTGGAGCAGCATTCAGCAGTGGAAACACAGTTATCTCATGAGTAAAAATAAAAAAAAATATACATCAACAAGAACACTTTTAAACACCCACTACTGAATCTTTAAACATAGATGTCTTGGACCAAAAAAAGACCTTTCAACATATATATTTACTGAGCTTGGGGGCAAAAYGCTGAAAATTATCATCATAAATAGCTAGTTTAATTATAATGGTTCTTCACATGCCTAAAAAGTCTGAATGGTTTGTAAGTGCACTGATTTTTAGTCATTAGATGAACCTGCCAACAAAGTATGCATACACTTTACATTAAAGTATTTATGATTGATAGCTCACAGAAAATTAATAGAGTGAAAAAAATCATCACTTTGTGGACACTGCCAGTCTTTAAAATAATTTATGTAAAAAGATTTCTCATTTGTGCTTTTTATCTCTACAGGCTTAAGATCAGCATGACCCATGCACTATTCAAGTTAAAGCCATTCCAGCTTTGCTAGGTATGCAAGTAAGGATTCCATGACCTTTAAGGAGGCTCCATATCATTTTTAGCTCCTCCACAACTTTCCACTCCCTGCTGCCTCCCTCTTCCTGCTAAGTGCAGCTCCTAGTCCCAGTTGTCTCCTCCTCAATTGAAATTCCAAAGGATTTTCTGKGCACTGTTAGGAAGACAGCAAGAAGCAGGTGCTCCGTAAGACTGCTTAGAYTCACGCCAGCTCCTGAAGACATGAAATGGGAACACCAGCTCAGCAAACTGGAGCAGTATTACACCAYACGATTGTTCTACTTCTCTGAAATTCAGAAGAAAAAGCTCTTTGCTAGAAGAAGAACAGGAACATCTGTCAAATGTGGAGATATGAAGAGATATCKCTGATGCATGGCTACCAAGGAAAGAGGAAGCAGTTTGTCCCTGCACACTAAAAGAGGAAGAAAGGCAGAAGTTCAAGTAACTGCCTATTTTAACTAAAACAATGGCAATATCAAGGGCATGCCTGTAATTGAGAATGCAAGTGGAGAATCTGTCATACCAAAACCCCAAGAAACAGAACAAGCCTCCCAAACCCAAAACTTTAATAACCACACTTGTGGGATCTCCCTCACCACCAGTCCAAGACAGCCACCAGTAAAGGAAATGCTTGCACACCAGGCAGAAAACAACGCAATGTTTCCAAACACTGAAGGCTTTAAAAACCAAAAAGCCTTCTAGCCCAACGTGAACATACACTTGGAGAAGTTCGAGAACAGAAAGGACTTCAGTGCTCTTCACAAGTGTCAAGATCATCAGTCTGAATGTGCTTCACTGGAACGTGGCACGGCATGAAGCCTTTAGTGGGAAGTAGTGGCTAGAGACACAGAATCACTGAATCACTGAGGTTGGAAAAGACCCTTAAACTCAAGTCCAGCACTAAACCAGGTCCCTAGGAAGCAGGACAGCTTAGGCTGGAAGGTATCTGTGGAGGCCATCAGGATCCAGCCACCTGTTCAAGGCAGGGCTAGCCTCAGTCCTGCCAAGCTGCTCAGGCTGATGAGAGCCATGCTCTGAACAGCTCCATGGATGGACACTCCACCACCTCTCCAGGCAACCTGGGTCTGACCACCTGCATCATCAAAGAGCCTGCCTTGCACCACTCCAGTTATCCTTTCTGGATATATTCTGTAAATACCAGTATGAGGTTTTCTGGAAGTATTGTATCAGTAACCAAGGTCTCTCRATGCACTACACTTTCATAAAATAAAACACCATTATACTTCTTTTCTTCTAGTCTGAAATTCAACATCAAAAGAAATAAATTCTTAGAAACCTCCAGAATCTCCCTACTCTTGCATATTCCATGAACTCTCAAACATATTCTAAATACAAGATGTGCAGACCTATTTTTGCCATTTCAGACACAGAATGGAATTTAGATAGCTACACTGAAAAATATAATGCTACATTAATTATCAGTGTTCAGAGGCAAGTAAAAAACTACTAAAAAAAGAAAATCAAGAAAGATAAGAGAAAGCTGGCTAGCATTACTTGCAAGATTTTCAAAGATACTGAGATCTAAATTGCCTAATGCACTATTCTCTTTTAAGAGAGAAAAAAATCTCCAAAGATCAAAATACACAATGAAGTTCGTCCAAAAACCCATGATCAAAAGTGAGACTAACAATTAGACACCATATGCATAAATATATAAAATGTATCCCAGTATAATATATGACCAGGGTGTATTTTACATATACAGAATATTTATACTGTCTCTGTATTTTATATGTTAAAATTTATATTTTACAAGTATTAACATTTGTATTTACACGCCCTTGACACTGAGAGATGTGTGCATTTCTGAGAAAAATTCAAGTGGCAAGTCACTTGAAATTCAATGGTACCAGACAATCAATAGTATCTTAAGGACAAGACACACCATAAAAGTTAAATGTAAAATAAGAAAAATTTAAAAGTACCTACTTCTCTATGTTWATGAAAGACAGAAAGATACTATTTAAAAACAAAAGCCACTATGAAGTCACACACCTGTTACATTAGAATAGCTCCATGTCTTTATAGCTATGACTTATTCCAATCTCWGGAAATATCAGTGAAATACCCTTAAATGGTAAGCAATGCAAACCCCAAATACTTTATCTAGAGTTGTACAGCTGGATTATTTGGGGTTTATGAAAAGTAGAAAAAGATAAAGGACACATGGGTCAGTCCTGAAATATTTCCAATGAGCTTGGTAGTCTCCGGGCCTATGGAACCCCAATGGCTGGGGGTCCTCCATACATGGATAATGCAGTTACAGAAACTGCACTATTAATGAAAACAGCCAWCAMAAACATAAACTAGATAKAGCTTTGAGCCTGTACTGGGTGAAYAATTTTCCCAGTCTAGAGCAGTATCTATCATAAGTAAAAAAACATTTTAATAACTCTATTTAAATTGTCTAGATTTCAAAATGCTTACAAAAACATACAATCCCATAAATATATTAGTATCTACATCAGCACAGTAGTACATTTAAAGGCCAAAATTGATTGTATGATTTTCCAGTAGACATTTAGCATGGAGACAGCACAGAAGAGCTAAGTTCAATTAGCAGAGAAGCCACGTCCTCTCACCCACTGCTTCCTGAAGACATCTCCTCTTTACCCCTTGAGTAACAGCCCCACRCTGCAGGCCAGGCAGATTACTTAACCTTTAGCCTTCTTTCAGCCACRGATTAATTGTACACACATGCATAACAAATGTAAGATTTTACTGCTTTGTAAATGACAGCACTAACTGACTGAACGAAATCTGACCTATGGCAACATGGCCCAACAGCACCCTGGAGAGCTGAGCCCAAGCAGCTCATGGTCCAGCCCCATTACTCAGCGTGCTGCCACCGCACAGAGCTGTGACGTAAAGAGAGAGGCCAACCACGCCTGCAAGGGCCAGCCTGCCTGGGATAACAACACAGCTCCAACAATCACCCAACAGCCCAAAGGGAGCTGCTGGGACCAGGTCAACCCAAGGGCACAGGGTTGGGAAGAACAACTTTATGACATGAGTAAACATTTACCTGCACGACAGTAAATGTGTGCCACTAACCGAGTCAACTGGTGGTATGAAAAAAATGCTGGTATCAGCCAAAGAGGAGGAAGAGATGTGAATAAAGACTAACTAATGGACTAGATCAATGGTAGGTCCTGCTTATAGGAAAGGAGTTTGCCTTCCCCTTCCCTTCAGCCTCTCCTTCTGAGAGAGCACAAGTAACAGCACACATGATGAACATATTTTCAGTTATAAAGCATTAGACATCTCATTTCATTTCCAAAATACTGCCAACTATATGACCTCTGTGCTAAGCACAGTACTGCAGCGTGCAAGAGCTGTGCACCAGTGCTGTGGTACATGAGACAGACTGGGAGCAACGAGCCAGAGCCCAATTCCCACAGCCCAGCTCCCAGAGCCGCTCCGGGTCGCAGCTCCTAAACAAGTACCACACACTTAAAGGACATTTCAAATGACCTGCAGGACTACCTGGTTAATTTTTCTCCAGTTTTCTGCAGAGCTCAAAAAAGGAAGATTAACATGTAACTAGGATACACTTGAATTTCAGATTTTTGGTTATAAAATAACTTTTCCAGGATTACAGGGCAGAATGCTTCATAATGGAACAAGAGACATCATGACCACTACTGTTGTTTTACATCTTTTGCTTGGAAGTGTACCTTCCATTTTGATTAGAAAGGACAGGAACACATACTGGCCAAGCCTTAAAACTTCCTTTGATTGTTTTTTTCCTCTCACAAAACACTAAAGCTTTTAAATTTAAGCCTAAGCATTGAAAAAAAGGACAAATTATGTTCAAACATAATTAATTGTGCTGAATATAGTGAAAATTATGTCTCATTTTCTTATAAATCTGTATTTCCAAATGTGCTATGAAATAGTTAAAGAGCATTTTCCATGTAGTAGAAAACTCAGTACTGTAAGAAACAAAGGTATAAGAAAAGCAGGTATTCCCTTAACCCAAATGGGTACCTTTACTAGACAGCAATTTTTGTGCTTTATGTGCAGTGAGCTTTTCTATTTCTGTTCCCCTRCTAGCCACAGAACTCCACTTGCCATCAGCACAGAAATCTTCTCCAAAGGAGGCTAAAAAATTACATTGTGGAAAGGATCATCACAATAAAAGGGATAATGAAAGAGAAAAAGATGCCTAAATAATGAGATAGGGGCATGAAGAGATGTTTGTTCTTTAATAATGGCTACTGCTCAGATCCCTGCTGTCTTTTAACTCCAAATTTATTCCAGTCATTTCTACAGACTGGACAGGAAGAGGGCATGAATTCAGGGTGTCTAACTCTGTGCCCTCAAAGATCTGATGACTGGTCCATAAGATACTGAAGAACCTTCTCCACCAAACCAGCAAACCATCTGAGCTAAACAGCCACAATCAGAGTCACCTTCCTGAAGTGTTCACTTGCCAAGGAAACAAAAAGTTCCTGATGAATCTCTGCATGGAGGTGTGGACACTGGTGCTGTGAATGTTTGGACTAATAGCTGGTCTCCTTTSTGAATAGCAAAGATGACAGGGAACAGTACTACCATACCCAGACTCATTCTCCTGAATGTATCCTTAAGCTTAACCTAGTGAATGTGGGCTGCCTTCGTTCTGCTGCAAGCACTACGTGTTACTTTCTGTATGACAGAAAAAAACACAGGCTTAACATATTACTTCTTGTCAGAGCAGCAGAATCACATAAATGAGGTCTTTCAAAAAGATGGAGATGTGGGACCAAATGCCAGCAAGAAGAAATGGTGCATAACAACCTTCAGCTACAGCATTGAGAGCACAGGCATGTGCTACAATACACAGCTACACATRATGGGGTGAGCTGGTCTGTTCCCCATTAGGGGTCTAAGCAAAAAGATATGACACAAAAGAGCATGGATTTTAAGATCATGCCACATCTCCAGGAACYAATAATGAGGCCGAGATAAAGGAGGCAGTGCCATGTGCCATYAGAGACTCTTCAGAATGTACCTATCCCTCCTCTCCTGACAGAAATCTCTTTTAGAGAGAGAAGAAAAGCAGCAGCAAAAGAAAATCCTTCCAGCCTTCACACAAGCCCGCATTACAGACTGTAACATTTTTCTCTCCAGCAGAAGAGGAAAAGCAGCAGAGGGAAATACTGTGGTCCACTGCAAGACACCTGGAACACACAACAAACTGGCAATGAGGTAGAAGATTWGTTAAATTAATTATTATTAAAGAAYATCAAGACTAACATGGSAATTTAATTAAGACCCAGATYCTTCTGCATTTAGAAGCAGTAGTGCCAAATCTAGGTGAAACTGAATGTAGAGGAGCTGGCCACACTCTGCTTCAAAAATACAGGTGAACATGTAAAGATTGTGACTAACTCGTATATAAGACTTGGTGGATGCCAAGAATGRCACAGAATAGTTAAATAATGCTGGGAGAGGCTCCAAGGAGGGTGTTCATCTAAACAGCAAACASCTCTGCCACACAGCTCACGAGGTGGGATGCAGCTGCACACAGGCTGAACTTTGAGGTCAGTTCCTGTAAAGCTATAAAATCAAGAGTGCCAGYTGAGAAGTCAGTGACTGTGGGCAGGTATGGATCCTGAAGTAGCAACACATCCACCTGAAGGAAACTGCACTAGCACAGGAATCTTTCACATCTTACTGTGRATTGAAGAAAAGGTAGAAAAGCCAKAATACTTTCTCTCCTGACATCCATGGAGCCACAAAAATCTTCAGCTTGAGTAACAGAGACACTCTGCTCTGTGAAGATTTGTATGGACCAGCAGACATAGAACTACTTGTGCAGTAGCAAAGGCACTGTGGCTCTCCCAAGCACCAGAACACTGTACAGCTGTGAGCTGCTTATTAAAAGAATGCAATGTCCTACAGTTCCAAATCAAATCATTTTAAATATCATATCAGCTGCCAGTGGCATAAGCCAACCAACAGGACACACACCTGTTCAAAGGTACATAACTTACCATTTATCAGAGTATACAACCCCAAAATAATTCCTAATTGATCCTGTTTCAACAGCTGTAAATTTCCCCTTTCATTTTCAAATACAGTTTARCAACTGGAAAGTCACAACTGTACCTTTTCTGCTTTTTTGTCAGAGATGTCTTGTTTTTCTAGAACTGCCATGCTCTCCTTCAGGTTTTTCACTATGTCTGCAGGAGACTTGTGTGACTTGCCAAAGGGGAATGGCATGATTGCAAACCACAAAGTCTTCCTTCTATGGCTCCTGCTTCACCTGCAAAAAGAGGAGAAAGAAAGTACATCAGAAACAGAAACTTGAGCTCTGTAGAACAACACACACACAGATCAAGATAAAGTAGCAAAGGTATTCATACATGGAATAATGACCCTTGACAGGTGAACCAGAGCTTGCCACGACAAACATAAATTCTTGTATTTCTAATTCTTTTAAAACGCAAGATACAGAATCTAACAACTCACATTAAGATCATCATCTCATGCTTCAGGAGCAAATTAAAGAGTACATTAATTATATCCAAAGCCACATAATGCACATATGCCACATATGGGCAAGAYTAAAAAGGATAAATTATTCCAATTAATGCTGTCAAGCAAAATGCATTCTTATATGAGGTATTTGACACACAGGTCATTGTGTCTCAGGGGCTCTGCAATCACTGTCCACGCACAACTTTTACCCAGATTCATTCCAGAACAAATGTAAAGTGGAGCCCGAAGTGCACATCTTACTGCAGAACCTACAAACACGGTGCAGGTGAGGCTACAGACAGCAGCCTGCTCCTGTTAAAACACATGGCATGTCCCGTCATTTTCATGTAAGTAGTAATACTGAAATACAGTCATGCCCTCCAAAATTTAAGGGAAATCAAGTTTGCCACCTAGAAGGGATATATACAGCTCTTGACAACATCAAAACCAACACCTGATGTGTATCTTTCTCAAAAAGATTAAACATGTCTTACAGGAGAAATTTTCCTTCCCTAAAAATATTTGGCTCTTGAATCCAAATACATTTATTCTTCTGTATATTTACATGTATTTAGTTTTACATACACACACACACACACATATATACACTCTCTTCTGTAAACAAAATAGAAAAGCACGACTGAAATAAATCAGTGCACTGAAGCTTTTGTTACTAAACACATCCACCCACACATAAACAATAATAAAACTTTCTTACAAGTGAATTCCATAAAACATACTTCTACAACTTTAATCTAGACAGAAAAGAACAGGAAATCCTCCATTAAAAATGCTGACATTGCTACTTCTGCCCGACACAAAAGACAGCTGAAGCTAGCAGAGCCTGCACTGTCATTCCAAAGAAGGAGTATTACCCTGAAAGTTGAATTTCTATCTCCCTGTTATGCCCGTGCAGTTAGTAACAAGTCAACTATAACCAGTACATGTTAAAGTTTCTTATCTGATACGATGCACTTTGCTCCTTGATTAAAATACCAGCTCATCCACCATGAACTCCAAAACATTACTCCTGATCTTATTCAAGTTTTGATCAGGGATTAAAATACCAATGTAATGYWATTTTTGAGTTATTTTTATTTTWAAATCAAAYACATTTGCCTGGCCCWAGGGYAGCAATTTAAAGGGTGAGAAGCAAAGAACTTGGATCTTTAGCCAAGTAAATTTCCATAAATAGGTATTTCAAGTAACCAGTTACAGAGATCATACCTTCACTGTTCCATGTCTGCAACTGACTTATCCAAGCTGATAAAAAGTGGAAGGTAGGTAATTTTTAATTAGATTGTTTTCAGATAAACGTATCAGCAGGAAGGTAGAAACAAGACCTTCTACCAGCCATTCYCATTCTTTAACAGATCACAAGGACTTTCTGTTGCATTTATTTTGCAGTATGTATTATTATAGTAATCTCTCATTCACAGCTGCACAAAGAGGAGGCTGTAACACTGAAATCACAAGTGCAGGAGATAAAGAGAGATTTAAATGTCTGCACAGGTCATTCCTTAGACAAAAGAATTTTATGCCTCAAACTTTAATCATATCTMGTGGAACAGAAACCTACGACTAAGAAAAGCACAACTACTTACTGTTACTTASTGAAAACACAGTGGCATTTAAAATAATATTTAAGGAAAATTATGATATTTTCTCACAGGACATTTTTTTCCTAGAAAGAGACAGTGTAAAAATAAGCACAATTTCCCCACATCGTGGTTTACATACTTTGAGCATCACAACAACATTTTAAATGTTCCCTTTATCTCTCAATTTCATTACTACTTCTGCCAAATTAAGATGAGCCCTGAAAACAAACGTGGATTCTTTCATGCTTGCATATCACCACTGATAATACTACTATTTAACAACTATTMTGCCTATTCATTCTGGAAGATAGCTATACCCATGTAACAGAGAAGGACYGGCTCAAAAAGCTGCCAGCCTTAATTCCTTTGATTATGCATGAAAACACCATCCAGTACGAATCAAAACAGCAGAGAGAACAAAAACATGGAATCATAAAATCCGGTATGACAGCAATATACAAAGAAAATAAATCAACCCAAAGAAAATCGCTCTGCACACTCCTCTGGATCAGATCTATGCTCCTTCTAAACTGTAAGACTACATGGACAACATACATAACCTGCAGAAATACAGAATAATGACAAACAACCATCCTCATGTGTGCCCAATGTCTAGATTTGTAAAACTTGACTTGCCTAGAGACAGTGCTCAATTGCTTCTTAAAATTAAAAATAGTCTATGGTTTTCATTAATTCATGAAACCTTCCAAGTTCTACATAAATCAGATACACATACATGCACAAACAAGTCATACACAAGCTTCAGTGTATATACTAGCATATCTAGTAGAAAATAATCAATTAATAACAGCTCCCTGGCATATATTTATGCTAAACATTTTCTCCYGATTCAGGTAAGTTCCTGCCTGAATCTCTCGTAAGCAATTTAGAAAAATAAGGAACAACTGTCAGAACCACTAAGAAGGAAATCTACATCCTTGATTACTGAAGGTGACATTTTGCTTCAAGATATTTCTTTTATTTATAAAATGGAATAAATATGCTGTTTATGCCATTTCAATTTTATTACTGGAAGGAATGCAATGGCACTGCTGGGAACATCATCTGGGGCCTCAAGACTGAAGATCTCACAAACCCTGAAGCAAAATTCTGTTACTGAAAAACCTGTGCCACATCCTGCCAAAAAAAAAAAAAGCAGTAGCAGTCCTTTGTCTCTCAAAGCTGTACTTCATGCAGGAGAACATAGACAGGCTGTTCCTTTTTCAGCCCAGCAGAACTACCCCCAGCAACACTCTGTGCACAATAGACAATGACAACATCTGTGTGGGATCGGAAAGAGCTGCCACCACCCACATCTGCAACACAAGAAAAAAAGGGAACAACATCAAATGACATTTTCTGTAAATAAGAATAGGCCTTACATCATGTCAAATGATAACTGATTCACAATACTAGCACCTGGTTGCCTTGCAAATTCAGGATAAAACACCGATTGTGGCTAAACAAAGGATCACAGAACTCATGAAGAGTTAAACTGCAACAAGTATATGGACAGCTCTGTGCTCTGCTGCGCTGCTTTGCTTTATCTTCCCTTCCCAGAAACCTCACTTTCATACATTTGTTAAAAGACAATATGGACAATATTACACAAACCTCAGGCTTTCTCAGGCATGCATTTTATTTCACCAATATTCAATCACACCAAAGGTAACAAAATTTAAGGCCCTCAAAGCACTGGGGTCACAGCCTCAGTTAGAAATCAGAAGTGATGTTATCAATCCCAATGGACCATCAAACAACAATATGGCACATGGCCAAACACCCAGAGATTAAAGTTCCACTGACACACTCACGCACACTGGGACATTTGGGCTTTTGTGAAAACCAGAGATAGTAGCCCCACTGTTTCTGATAGTATATAATTTCCAGCTCTGTCAATGCACCATGCATCCCTGCAGTTTGCTTTATCTATAAGGCTTTGTATTATTTTATTCACTGCATTGACCACACAATCAATTAATGCCCAATTTAAATCTAATGCATTCTATACATGAGATTTTTAAGTGTCTGCTTAGTTAAAAAAAAGGCATTTCTCTGTGAGGACAATCCTCCTGCAGAAAAAAAAAGCCACAGGAACAAATACAGAAGCATGATAAACAAATTCTTTTCCTTTAATTAATTTTAATTCCCTAAAGAATAGATACACTAGGCTGGTGTATGGTCTTTCATGTAACTGAGCTGTTTTTTATTTGAAGGGTCAGAAAACATGCTACCTTTTAACAGAAGCATGTACTACAGTTTAAAGCCTGATTACTTATTAGTAGAAGGGTTTTTTCTGTTGTTGGTAGTATGTCTTTGTTTCTCTAAGATGCCCGAATTTCTATTTTCAGAATATTGGTACAAGAAATAGCACAATTACACTCCTGACTGCACTGACATATGTAGAGTTATTCCACAGACAAATTAATTACTGGCACCAAAGCCTCACTAGCACAGACTTTTAAAGGGAAGAAAAGAAAGGAATTAAATTGAATGAAAAGGCACACTAGCAGCATAAGCACAGACACAAAGGCAAACTCAAGCCTTTCTACTATAGCCATWCCACAAATTTACCACAACATAAAGTTTTAACTTTCTTTTCTCTGCAGAGAAATATAATCCATAAATAAAGCATCATTTAAGTATTCTTATACATTACAACTCCAGAGAGCAAATCACCACTTTGCCCCATGCAAAATGCTACTTCACTAATGTACAAAAAAAAAAAAAAACCTACATTACAAATTTTGTGAAACAAACAGGTGCAATAAACTCAATTCCTTATTCTGTTATAGTCTCACAGCTCAATTTCACTATAGTAATTTCTCCTCTGCATCTTGCTGCCTTGTTTACTCACCTTAAGAGTTTAAGGTGAGTGCTTTTGCAAGCTCCTAATGCGGAAAAGATGATGAAAAAACCCTTCAGCTATTTCCTGGCTACAACTGCACATGTTAAAAAAATTCAAGCATAGTGAGAAAGCCCATGCAACATCCATTTAATGTGCACCTAAGAAGAAAACTGAAGATCAAACAAAGCCAACATAATTTTAATAAGGTGAAATAATTGCCAGTAAGGTTCCCTACAGCAGATGGGCCACCGCCAGAGCTGGCCACTTCTGATGGGGAGGTCCCATGTCCCCTTTGCTCCAGCACCACACTCTTTCCCCCCACACTTTTATGCCAGG